TTTGTAATTATGTTCTAAAAATTTACCCTAGACTCCATCCCAGGGGTATGATGGGATTGAAGCCAGAGTTATGGTTACAAATAAATACAGAAGCACTGATTAGAAATTTTCTTTGTCTGATATTAATAAAGAGAATAACTGGTAGAGGACCCAGTATAATTAGATCTTAATCCAGTAAACCAGATTAGGAGTGGGGAAAAGCAGCCTGCATAAATAAAATTTCATTTGCAGTTCTTACTATCAATACATTTATAATAATTCACATTCTTACTGAGTAGAAAGTTTTAAATAATTTAACTCAGTTACAAAGCATAAAGGTTAGCCCTAGCCAAGTGTGGCTTAGTTGGTCAGGTGTTGTCCTTTGCACCAAAAGGTTGCCAGTTCGATTCCTGGTCAGGGCATATTCCCCGGGTTCCAGGTTCAATCCCCGGTTGGGAACATGCAGGAGGCATCCAATCAGTGTTTCATTCTCACATCAATGTTGCTCTCTAAAAATCTATTTTAAAATCTTATTTTAAAAAACTATATAGAGTAGATTAAAATAGATTTATTCTTTAAAATATTTCCATTATATTTCTATATTATATAATGTCATTTTCTTAATCTGATCTTTAAAAAAAATTTTTTGGATGAACAGATCAATTTAAATTTTTTTTGAGAGAGAGAGAGAAAGAGAAACATCAGTGTGAGAGAGAGACATCAATTGGTTGCCTCCTGTATGTACTCCAACCTGGGTGTACATCACACATGCCCAGGTATCTGCCCTTGACCGGGAATCGAACCCAAGACCCTCCAGTGCATGGGCCGACACTGTAACCACTGAACAATACCGGCAAGGCTAATTCTGATCTTTGTTGCCTATCTTTTATTCTGAATTAATCGGGGGAAGGGGATCGGCCTATTAATTTGTGATTTGGAGTGTTTCCTAGTGCCCTGTTTTTGTTCTTTCCTGTGGCTTCCAGAATTTATATTTGCTACAACTTGAACTTGTATTTTGTTTCAGAGTAACATGTTTCCCTTAAGTATTTGTATTTTATCAACCCTCTAAAGTTAGATAGCACTGAGATCAAAATAAGCACTTTCTGCTCCGGCGGGATTGCTCAGTTGGTTAGAGGGATGTCACATAAGGAAAGTTTTTCACATATAATAGTATAGGCTGATTGAGTCTTTGAGTCTTAAGAATAAGTGCAAAGAAGAGATTTAGGATAGAATGACCATATAAATATTTCCAGGAAGAGCTTCACCTAAGAGCACAAAAGTCCCTTCTTTCTTTGGCAGACTACTATACAAATTAAAGTATGCAGCCCTTGAAAATATTATACTACTGACTGCACTAGAAACTCACTGAAACAACCATGCTGAGAATAAATAAGAATTCCCAGTGGTGAGAGCTAGGGTCTTAGTAGCCTGGAATGTTTATTTCAAAGGAGCTTCTGTGATTTTCAGAAAACTCAGGTTACATTTCTGAGAGTCTAAAGATTACATTTAAAAATTAAAAATTACATAAATCTCAACCCAGAATATGATCCTCTGTAGCCTGAGAGACTGCTTGTTCAGAGCTTCCCCCTGTCTGATTGGTGCAAGGAGAGTGGGTGACGCGCATCACTTCAGTGGCTGTTAGAAGTAGCATCGTGGGGCTGCTTTATCTAGGGAATCAAGAAGAGGCAGCCAGGACAAACCACTAGACTAGGCAATGTGCTGAGTCCTGGTGTCCTGAAGGTGGAATAATCTGAGGGGCAGAATAAGCACAATAAGTTAAGGTCCTAGGAGACTGGCAAATACACATTTGCTGGCTCCCTGACCTCAGGTCACACCTCAGCTAACTTGACTTGGTCAGAAGAGCTGCCTAGGCATTACTCTTACATGGTGGCTCCCAGTCGCAACCCAGGCAGGCATCTGTGGTAGACAGTTGATGTTAAACAGACACATTGTTTTGAATATCTCTATATTCATTGGAATGTATCATTCCTGAACCTTTTTCTGGAAACCTGTATGTTGGTTCTGTATTCTGGGCTGGGAGAGCAGCAGTGAGGGCAGTTGAAGCAAGTCATACAAGGAGAGAGAAGGTGCCTGCAGAGCGGCTCCGCTTCCGCCTGGCTCTTCCTGAGGCGGAACTTCAGGCCACTCACTGTGCTTGAGAGAGAGCAGGAAGAGTCCTGTGTGTGCTATCTGGAGAGTGCTGGCTAACTAATAATAAGAGGTGACCCTGAAGGGAAGGGTGTGGACTGATACAAGGACTAATGCGGGACCACATGCCGAATGGGTTAAAGCTTTCCCTCCCTCTGGCTGGCGCCTGCCAAAGTCGGCCAGCAGCGCCCTCGGGCCACCCCTGGTTCTCCTATTGCAGTGGCGGTGGGAGGGAGCAGGAGGGCGGTGCTCGGCCCAGCTCCTCGGGCAGGCTCTCCTCCAATGGCCAGGAAGAGAGGCTTGAAGAGCACCTCCCTCCCGACTCTGCAGCAGTCTGCCTGGGCCCTCTGCTGGCGAGCCCAGCTCCCCCCACCCCACCCCCCCTGCCATCTTCCGTTGCAAAGCATTTCTGGGAGCTGCATGTGGGTGACGCAGCAGCATTGTTCGCAGGCAGAGGAAGCCGCGGCTGAGCTGAAGGTCTCTGGAAGGATCTCTGAGCGCGGCACATGCTCCCTCTGGGTAGCCTGGACTGTCCTGCCGTAGGAACTCTGGGGGATTTCAGGATTTTCAATTAAATCGGATTTTCCAAGAGGCAGAAAACCTAACTCCTTCAGCACAACTTCCAATACAGGAAACAAAACAAAGACGCTGGGGAAACTTCAACCAAAAGCCTCAGCACTCCAGAGGGACGAGAAACACAAGGTCAGGCGGGCGGGCAGGCGGGCGGCAAACCCTTCCTGGTTCAGGGTGTGTTTAACTCTGGGGACTCCGGCGAAAAGGCTGAAGGACTGTCTGCTGGGCGAGTCCAAGACAATGCTTAGGTTACTTCGTGTTGGTGGAGCCGTCAATGCACTTGTTCCCTCGCCTTGTGGGATGTGCTTCTGAATTGGGTCGCTTGGCTTTTGGGAATCCATTCCCCTTCTCTGCCCAGACGTCGCTGTTCTCTTCCCCTTCCTGTGCTGTGTGGGGTGTAGGCTTGTGTTTGAATGTTCTCCTTAAAACCAGGATTCTAGATAGGCGTTAGCCTTTCTGCATTCCGCCCCCGCTCCCTGTCCCAAACCCCCTCTGGTGAAGGTTGGTGGCTTCTTTATATGGTTTCATGAAGGGCCTCAGCTGGAGTCTGTCTTTTTCCATGAAAACGGTGTGCTTGGTTGTATGGCCCCAGCAAAATAAGGCTTGGAAGGCAATCTGCATTTCCCTCCACACCCACACAGACCCCAGTTACTGAGTCTGTATGTGTTAACAGCCCCCCTCCTCCCACTTCCTTCCCACCCCACACAGTTTCTCCACCTACCCTGTTCCCCACAAAAATCTTGCTGGTAGCACTAGACTGCTTTTGGTGAACAGTTAGGCTCCTTTTCTACTCTTAAACAGTCAAATAGTCGCGGATCTCTCTGTGCCGTCTGTTTTGCCGAAAGTGGAAAGTCCCTATTTGTGGACAGCTCTGAGCTCTCGGGGAGAGGAAATGGGCAGAGTCCTACTCCTCAGCAGTGCGAAGTGGGGGAGGGGAGCTGTGCATTCTCTAGCACACATTTTGAATGGACCTGAAATTTTCACCCCAGGGAGATTACAGCCCATACCAGAGTCTTGTCCCATGAGGCACCGCACCCTGCCTCTTTACCCCCACGCAGTGTGGTACTAACAGGAGGCTCCAGAATAGGGTGCCATAGCAACTCAGAGTAAATAAAACGGCTGGAAATGAAATCAGTTTGGGGGAGGGGGAAAGGCATCTGGAGGCTTGGCAAAGGGGGATCTTCATAGGGAAGCTTCATGGGTATGCGTTAAAGGGTCTTTCTGAGTCCCAACTCTGGGATTTGGAACATGATCCTTAGGTTCAGAAAGAAAATGCTTGGTAAGGAAATGCCTCGTGCTTCAGAAAGTTTTGGTCTCTAGGCAGAGAGCCCACAAGGTTATGAGAGTGATTATTAAAGGTGGCCCAAGCATACTGACCTGTCCAGGATCAAAGTTTAGTTTTCTGTAAACAGTTAATATCCTATATTCACCTAAGGAAATCATGTCACTTGTCTTATGGATTTGTGTTCTTTTGCTGGTGTCATTACTCTAAGACTTATGAGGTCAGGGATTTCATCCTGCTAGGTTTGGAATTCAAAATTTTCTGTCTATAAAACTTTAAAGGTTTCAAAATAACACTCAACCAGTGTGATTCACTTAAGTGGCAGTTTCTTACTGTGGTATTATTCCTTAAGTCATTCGAACTAGATTGGTTAAAGCCACGAGAGAACTATTGTCCCTAAGATTGTTCCTGCCCTATTTATAGGAATAAAGGCAAATAATTGACCGTGTGTGTGTGTGTGTGTGTGTGTGTGTGTGTGTGTGTAAGAGAGAGAGATTTAAGATTGAGATTTCTGTAATCAGCGTTAGAAGAACAGAGCCCTGGGTTGAGCTAGATATTAAGACTCTGCTGTTCATATTATTAATTCAGTATTAGCCTTTGTTGTTGTTGCCATTTTGCTGACATCTGCAAATTGAAGTCAGTATTTACACTCTGGCAGTATTCATTAACTGGTATGGAAAAGTAAAAGGGTGAAGTAAAGTTTTACTGTCACATGTAGAACTATGTGACAAGAAACACTTGTCACCAGGGTAGCTAGCTAGCTGCTTCAGTAAAAGTGTCAACAGTATAGTGCAGTACACAAGAACCAGGCTGGGAACAAAGATAAAAGTTTTGACAGTATTGTACTAGCTTAAGTTTTCTCTTTCATTTTGATTTACTTGTTCTGCAGCTAGTCTATGTGAAGTGAAAATAGAAACAGCTGATTCCCTGGCCTTCCCTTGGTGCTTGTGGGGAATGAGGCTAAGGAGTGATCTACTCTTTGTTCACTGTGCCCTCTTTTCTTCTATCCTACCCTTAGGTTTTGCTGGAGGAGCTTGCCAACAGTGATCCCAAGTTAGCCCTCACTGGAGTCCCTATAGTACAGTGGCCAAAAAGGGATAAGGTAAGAAACTATTCTTGACCTTCAGGTTCTAAAGTATTTGCTGTCTGACCATTATTATTTTGGAAGGAAAAAGGACAACTAGAAGCATTTGGCATGTTAATATAAAGGGAAAATCATTCCTCAGTTTGTTCTGACTCTTAGGTCAGGGTAATTGGCTGTCTTTGGAGATGATGCTCTTAACAAAACTATAAAACTAGGAGACCTGTCTCCAAGTTCGGATGCCAAGGTATGCATTTGTTCACCAGAATGGATCAGTTCCTGTCCTCTGGCCCAGTGACACAATTATTTTCACAGAATGATTTAAAATTGGTTAAAATAATTACATATATATTTAAAAGGCCAGCGTGTTTCTATGTTGAATTGAGACCACATTCTCAAGTTTCCTCTTTATTTGGACTTTTCACTATCAAATTGAAAAGAGAAGATAGGAATTACCCATTAGCTAATAAATTGTCAGTTGTGAATTTTGATGAATCTTCAGTTAGGCCCTGAATAATTTTTCCCCACATCGTCCTTTGTCAAAGTTATTACATAAAAAAAGTGATTAAAGCCGAAACCGGTTTGGCTCAGTGGATAGAGCGTTGGCTTGCGGACTGAAAGGTCCCAGGTTCGATTCCGGTCAAGGGCATGTACCTGGGTTGCGGGCACATCCCCAGTGGTGAGTGTGCAGGAGGCAGCTGATAGATGTTTCTCTCTCATCGATGTTTCTAGCTCTCTATCTCTCTCCCTTCCTCTCTGTAAAAAATCAATAAAATATATATTTTTTAAAAGTGATTAAAAAAAAAGAAGTGATAGCATTCTGATCCTGATCATGAGTTTGACCCTTCTTTGGTGTTCCCAAAGCTGAAATGGCAGGGCCATCACGTTTTAGGAGTGTTTAGGTAGAATATAAAGGTATGTAGCTAAAAGATGTCTTTAAAGAACTGTCTCTCCTACCTGGGTGCAGGATTCCCATTTGGCCTCTACTTGGCCACATCGGGTTGCCCCAAAATAATTTAGTCATTTCTGAGTTATTGGAGTGTCTGCTATGTACAGGTGTTATACTTGGATTCAGAGTAATACAGAAATGAACAAGACCTGCCTCACCCTCAAGTAGTTTACTGTCTTCTTTAGGAGTATATTCTGAGTAGTAATATTCAGGATAAGGAAATGTTGGAGGGCCCCTGAAGTGACTGGTACCTAGAAAGCTCAACAGATGAGAGAGATGTGTCTGAAGGAATAGGCAACCTTTTTTAAAAAATATTTTATTTTAATTGATCCTAAGAGAGGAAGAAAGAGGGAGAGAGAGAGAGAAACCTCAATGATGAGAGAATCATTGATTGGCTGCCTCCTGCACGCCCCCCAGTGGGGATTGAGCCCACAACCCAGGCATGTGCCCTTGACCAGAATTGAACCTGAGACCCTTCAGTCCGCAAGCGACTCTCTGTCCACTGAGCCAAACCAGCTAGGGTGGAATTGACATCCTGTTTTGGTAAAGGTAATATGTAGATAATAAAGATTAATATTTTAGGTTTTGCAGGCTATACAGTCTCTGTCGCAACTTCTTAGTTCTGCCAGTGCACATAAAAGCAGCCATAGACAATACATAAGCAACTGCGCGTCATTGTGTTCTAGTAAAACTTATTTACAAAAAAAAACAGGTAGCAGGCAGATTTCTCCCTGGGCCATAGTTTGTCAAGCCATGTAATCTTCTACCTTCTTTAGTCCTTAAAGCTACCTGATATATTTGACCTCACTGCTTTCTCTTCCCAGCTTAAATTCCCCACCCGGCCAAAGGTGCGGGTTCCTACCATCCCCATCACAAAGCCTCACACTATGAAACCAGCTCCACGGTTAACACCTGTGAGGCCAGCTGCTGCCTCCCCCATAGTGTCTGGAGCCAGGCGGAGACGAGTACGATGTCGAAAGTGCAAAGCCTGTGTGCAAGGAGAGTGTGGTGTTTGCCACTACTGCAGGGACATGAAGAAGTTTGGAGGACCTGGTCGTATGAAGCAGTCCTGTGTCCTCCGGCAGTGCTTGGCAGTGAGTGACCTACTGGGTAAAGAATTTGGGGGAGGGGTGGTGGTGCCAAAGGGACTGAAATATGCATAATATAGAGTTATTGAGAGTTGGAAAGAAAAAGTTACTCTCTCTTTTAGCTTTCTTCACTCTGTCCCTTTTCTCCTGGGTTGTGAAGGAACATCCAGTACTAAAACTTAACTAGTAAAATCTTTGAGCCATATCCAGTTTTCAAATGAGAGACCAGCATTTGAAGGGCAAATCACTGCTATCTGTCCCCTCCCTCTTTAAGTGGATTGGAAAGAAAGGACCCCAAGACCAGGGACAGGCTTACTGAAAATAAACTGATCTCTGTTGGTCTCTAGCTACTTGATTCCTCCTCTGTCTGCTTCCTCAGCCACTTCTCTACCTGGTCTCCATGTTCCCTACGTGTTTACTATAAAGTCACAGGAACCAAATTGCCCATCTTAGTTAAAGGGAAGCTGAAATGATAAGGATCTAAGTCTGCTCTTTCCTTGGTTTCTATCTTTGTCCTCTTGTAGCCCAGGCTGCCTCACTCAGTCACATGCTCCCTCTGTGGAGAAGTGGATCAAAATGAGGAGACACAGGACTTTGAGAAGAAACTCATGGAATGCTGTATCTGCAATGAGATTGTTCATCCTGGCTGCCTCCAGGTGAGTAGAGGCCTAAGGGGCTACTGAAGCCTCAGCTGATAGAGTGTCTAAAGAAACAGTGGAACAGAGGAAACTGGAATATATGTCACAAGAAACTGCCAGCATCCGTATTATGGGCCATCAGCTGTGGGTCATGTAGTGATGTAACATCTACCCCTGATCCAAATATCTCTACTGTGTGTCAAACACTGTGCTAGGCCTTGAGGACCAGTACACGAAAAAGTCCAAATTTCTGCCCTCATGGAGCTTACATTCTGGCTTCTGGAGACTGTGTTTGGAGTCTCCAGGCCATCATGGAACTGCCAGGTCTGATTTGGAATGTTTCATGGCTGTAAGCATCTTTGTTGCATACTTGATTCTATCGCTGGATATTAGTTCCTAAAAGTCAGTGAGAGTTGTAACATTAGCTAATAACATTTAATGAGTGCTCAGTCTGTATCAGGCTTAGTGCACACCTGAGGAGCTTTAAAAAGTAATAAGGAAGTTCAGATCCCAGAGATTGAGTCAATTCTTCTAGCCTGGACCTGGGCTGAGGCATTCAATATCTCCTGCATCATTCTGATGTGCAGCTGAGATGGAGAGCTGCTGGTTTCCATGCATTCCCTTGTTTAATCTCTAAGAACTGTGTGAAGTTGGGTCTGCCTCATTTCCTTATATTTCTTTAAATCTAAAAAGCATTGGTGCTGGTACTTCTTGGTCTTCCCAGAGGTGTCAATTATGTCATGACTGCACCTGGATGACAGTGATTATAAAACACTGTTAATTATGAGAAGCAGCCCAATTTCAGAAAGATTCAAGAAAAAATAGCATCTTAGAATCAATAAAATAGGATATTATCTCCACGGTAATGATAATGGTAATTATGGAGCATTTATTACATGCCAGACATTTATCTAAACACTTTACGTAATACTTAATTCATTTAATCTTCATCACAACCCTATAAGATGAGTATTGTTATTTATCCCGACTTTACATAGAGCCACAGAGACTAGGCCCCTGGTCTCTGAACCCAAGCAGTCTTAACTATACCCCACTGTTAAGATTGGGTCTGGCACCATTCTTGTGTGTTCAGTTCCTTTTTCAAAGTGGCATGAGACCTTCTGGAGTATATGTGTCAAGAGAAGAGACCCCAGACTCTTAGGAATTTCCTCATGGAGCCTAACTCTGATCAAGTAACCAAGAGTGAGGGTAGCATTTCCCTGTGGCTAATGTGAGACTAAATGGCTCTCGTTCTTTCTCTTATGAGCCAATGTATTTAGAAATGGATAACTCTTAAAGGTCCTTCTTAACCATGTGGTGGTTAGTGTTGAATAAAGGAGGCTTAAGAGATAGGCTTTTTTATTTTTTATTTTTTTGCTTTTTTTATTTTTTTGCTTCTTTTTTTTTTTTTTTTTATAATGAGACAGATTTTTAACATCCCTGTCTACCTATAGATGGATGGAGAGGGGTTGCTTAACGAGGAATTGCCAAATTGCTGGGAGTGTCCCAAGTGCTACCAGGAGGACAGCTCAGAGAAAGCCCAGGTAAGGGAACTTTATCCAGATTTGCATTGTGAGAAGAAAGGAAGCATCAAGCTTAGGAGGTGTTTGCCTTTGCAACTTTATTCACATGGTTTTTCTGATCCAGGGATATTTTTTTTATTTTTTTGATACTTTTCCCTTTGGTTAATTATTTTTTCTTTTGTTTGAGTTTATATTTTTATTTTTAAATATATTTTTATTGATTTCAGAGAGGAAGGGAGAGGGAGAGCAAGACAGAAACATCAATGAGAGAGACTCACTGATTGGCTGCCTCCTGCACGCCCCACATTGGGGATTGAGTCCGCAACAGTCAAACCATGACCTCCTGGTTCATAGGTCAATGCTCAACCACTGAGCCACGCTGGATGGGCCTTTTGTTTGAGTTTTTAATGTTTGGTTTTGTGTTATTGAATATTGTTCTACTTGGGGTCTGCAAATGGCTGAGATTCTTATATAATCTGGGGTCCTAGAAAAAGAGGAACCACAGCTGGGCTGTTTGAGCAGGGTTGCTGTGGAGTGAAACTTCAGCAGAGATCTGAGGCAGCTGGGAAATACAGTGGTGTGCTGGAGTTTCCAGTTAAGCAGGTTCACATTTTTGTCATCTTCACCTTTGTGCTCACAGAAAGCCTGCCCATCGGCCCAAATGTGTCCTACAGAGGCAACCCCTCCTCCAGAGGAGACCAGCCCCATGACCTTGGCCCTGAGCAGCTGTGGTTGCTGGCCCAATGGTCGCCAGTAATGTCAAAGGGCCAAAAGGACTCTAGTTACTGGGGCCGGCAAGACAAGACCTGCTAAGGGCACATGCAGAAGAGGTAGCTGGCCTAGTGTCATTGATCCGGGCCCCAGTGGTCTCTAGGTGCACTGTGTAGGAGTGGAGCCAAGTATCCTTGTCTTTCTATTTCTTTCCCCCTAGGCAGTGAGTTAGTTGAGTTTTCAGTCTAAATGTCTTTGAGGACAAAGATTTTTAGAGTTGACTAGTGCTAGAATTCTCCGTATTTCAAGTTCTTATACTAGGAATAGGTTTGTTTTGTTTTTTAGGGGGTTTTTTGTTTGTTTTTGTTTTTAATACATATTTTTATTGATTTCAGGGAGGAAGGGAGAGTGAGTGATAGAAACATCAATGATGAGAGAGAACCACTACTAGGCTGCCTCCTGTAGGCCCCACACTGGGGATCAAGGCCACTCCGGGCATGTGCCCTGACTGGGAATTGAATAATGACCTCCTGGTTCATAGGTCAACACTCAACCACTGAGTCACTCCGGCTGGGCTTGTTTGTTTTTTAATTTAATTTATTGATGAGGGAGAGAGAAAAACATTGATTTGTTGATCCACTTATTTATGCATTCACTGATTGATTCTTGCATGTGCCCTGACTGGGGATTGAATCCGCAACCTTGGTGCATCAGTACAATGCTTTAACAACTGAGCTACCAGGACAGGACTAAGAACAAGTTTTTATCCTAGCAGATTTTACATTTGTCTTTACTGGTTGTGGTGGGTGTTTACTTCCCTGCTGTAGCAGATGGGTTGCCAGGTGCTGTGTTTTAGTTTCACCTTCTGATGTATGGTATAAGCCAACACCCAAAAGGTAGTTACTCTCTTCCAACCATAGTGCACTAAAAACGTGAGGATAAAAAGGAGGAGGATCATTGCTTCTCCTTCGCGAAAATCAGCCTAGTGAAACATGTTCATTAGGCTTTATCGCAACATAGCCAAGGTGGCCTCCAGAAAGGGACAAGAGGCTGGAGAGCACAGGTGGCATGGGATGAGGTTGTGTTCCTTTATGGAAGGTTGTCTTCGCCCAGCCTGAATTCCTCATTTCTATCCAGAGCAGATCCCTCTGGGAACAGTGTGGTTCTCACAGGTTCTCATTCTCTGCTTTGTCTCGTATCTGCCCTTGGTCTCTAGGGATAGGGTGGGGTGCTGAGTGGAAGCAGCAGGCTGGTAGAGGCGAGCTCAGACACTGGTGGAGCTGAAGGTCTGTTGTGTTGACTGCTCTCAGGTTTTGCATCCTAGTCCAAATGGTGAATGGAGGCTTCTTTTCTTTAACCACTAGCATCTCTTTCTTCCACTAGAAGCATCTCTTGGTACTTTTCTCCATAGAAAAGCAGTGATCTGTCCTCTCTAGTCCCCTGACAACAACAGGGAGGCACTGATGTGGCTTTTTTGGGCCTGTTTTATAGAAGCGGAAGATGGAAGAGAGTGATGAAGAAGCTGTGCAAGCCAAAGTCCTGCGGCCCCTGCGGAGCTGTGACGAGCCCCTCACACCCCCGCCTCATTCACCCACTTCCATGCTACAGCTCATCCATGACCCGGTTTCCCCCCGGGGTATGGTGACTCGGTCATCCCCTGGGGCTGGCCCCAGCGACCACCACAGTGCCAGCCGCGATGAGCGCTTCAAACGGCGGCAGTTGCTGCGGCTACAGGCCACAGAGCGCACCATGGTACGGGAAAAGGAGAACAATCCCAGCGGCAAAAAGGAGCTGTCTGAAGTTGAGAAAGCCAAGATCCGGGGATCGTACCTCACTGTCACGCTGCAGAGGCCCACCAAAGAGCTCCACGGGACATCCATTGTGCCCAAGCTGCAGGCCATCACGGCCTCCTCTGCCAACCTCCGCCATTCCCCCCGCGTGCTAGTGCAGCACTGCCCAGCCCGAACCCCCCAGCGTGGGGATGAGGAGGGGCTGGGGGGAGAGGAAGAGGAGGAGGAGGATGAGGAGGAGGAAGATGACAGTGCAGAGGAGGGGGGTGCAGCCAGGCTGAATGGCCGGGGCAGTTGGGCTCAGGATGGAGACGAAAGCTGGATGCAGCGGGAGGTCTGGATGTCTGTCTTCCGCTACCTCAGCCGCAGAGAACTTTGTGAATGTATGCGAGTGTGCAAGACGTGGTATAAATGGTGAGCAGGGATACAGGGATCAGGACTAGGGGTATGGGAGTAGGTGGCAGGTTTTTCAAATGAGACAAGCATGTGATTTGGCATCTGGAGGCTTGTTGGGACCTAAAAGATTAAATCAATCTAGTCTGTTCCCCAGACTGGGGTCTTGTTCAAGATGTGGGCACTTGTGTCCGTGAAGGAAATTTGGCCCTTTGCCTCCTCTCCCTTATCCATACTTTTCCATCTCTCTTTACTTGGCGTAGGAAACTGGTTTGGGGGATAGATCTGTAGTTTGTGCAAAAACTTCAGTCATAAGTTTCCCCACAAGTCAGTGAAACTAGTCACTTATTTGTTGAGAGCCTCTGATGTGCCAGTCACTCTCCTGGTCCTGGAGACAGATGACACCCAATAATTGTCTGCTCAGTTACCTCTCTAATGGGAGAGGTGGGCATGGTTTTCAAAAAATTTGAAGGTGCTCACAGTTTTCTAGTTTTAATTCTTATTCCCAAAATCTGGACCAGAATTGCCTTTTCCAGCAAGCAGAATCCAGTTTTAAAGTTTCCTGAGACTTAGTTGTCCTTAATGAGGCCAACAGTTTCTTCTCAAGTTAAACATTAAGAAACTTGGGGGCGGGGGGTAGGGGGGGAGGTCCCTAGTGATGATGATCAAAGATTTTCATAGGACACTGATTTTCCTCAAGCTTCTGAACCCTAGGACATACTCTTCATATCTGGGTAGTTCTCAAAGATGATGCCCAAACCAGTGGCATCACCTGGGACCTCGTTAGAATGCAAGTTCTGAGGGCCCATCTCAGACCACCTAACAGAACCTCCAGGGATAGGACCAGTCAGTCTGTTCTTAGGTCCTCCAGGAGTTCTGGTACACATTCAAGTCTGAGATCCACCGCTTTAGGTAAGCTGCTTATTTCTGCCAGAAAAGTTTCATATGCCATTGGTGAAGTTTTTTTCAGTCTTGAAATAAAGACCCCATTCTTCACAAACACAAGCTTATTTCCCCAATCTGAATATGTGAGCTACACAAATTCTCCTAATATTTCTCTTTGTAGGGCTAGTGGGCCTGCCTGGCTCTGTCCCTTGTTTTTAGGCCAAATCACATAAGATTCCCATTATGTGCTGTCTCCCCTTCTGCTGTCAGCTAGACTCTGAGCCGGGCTGAGGGAACAGGCACTGTAAAATATTAAATAGAAGCCTGCATGTGGCAGCAGCGTTTGTGGCCTATGGACTAGCAGATTGCAATGGAAAGGCTGTCCTCTCAGTTCTGGTCTGGACTGGCTAGAAAATGTAGAGATAGCACTGAGGCAGAAACCCAGGGTGGGAAAGAACTCTCCAGGCCTAGTCATAAAGAGCCTCTTCTGGCTTGATACAATAGTGGATTCTTTCTAGAGCTTAAGGTAGGATGAACTGTGAATATACCTGCATCTCCAGGCAGCTGGGAGTGACTGACAAGGGAAAGAATATAGTCAGTCCTAGCTTCAGGCAGTAAGAAGTCAAGAAATTTTTTAATATTCCATCTGTGGGTCGCGACCCCTTTGGTGGTCGAACGACCCTTTCACAGGGGTCGCCTAAGGCCATACGATTCATAACAGTAGCAACATTACAGTTATGAATTAGCAACGAAAATAATTTTATGGTTGGGTCACAACATTCGGAACTGTATTTAAAGGGCCAGAACATTGAGAACCACTGCCTTATATGCACTTTGGTAGAAGCCGTACCATTTAGTGCAAATGAGGGCTTATTGTTTACTGTGTTCTCAGCCCATCCAGAGTAAATCAAGGTGAACTGGTCAGGTTATCCATCATTTAATCTCTGCATGGTTGCCATAGAGGACAAGCCCTATTCTCACAGGGAAAATAAAACAGGCATGATCTTGTAAGCTTGTAGAACCCAGGGGGAGACCCTCCAGATGCCCTGCTTTTCCCAGAAGCCTCCAGCAGCCTGTGATGGAAGTTACTCTACCAAGGGATATTGAGTTATGGACAGCTTTTTCTCTTTCCTTCTGTCACAGGTGCTGCGACAAGAGACTTTGGACAAAAATTGACTTGAGTAGGTGTAAGGCTATTGTACCCCAAGCTCTCAGTGGTATCATCAAGAGGCAGCCAGTTAGCCTTGACCTCAGTTGGACCAACATCTCTAAAAAACAACTGACATGGCTCGTCAATAGGCTGCCAGGTGAGCAGCCCTGCCACTGTTCTTCCAGGGCCCCAGTGGTGGGCAGCAGTGTTTTAGGGCAGCAGTCCCATACCATAGTTGCCTTTCTGCTTCGCAAGAGATTTACTCAGGGTCACCTTAACTGCTAGTCCCCAGGCACCACTCTGAACTGCAGACCAGTCACTGCACGGGACAGTGAGAAGAATGGGATCAGGCACTGCTGCCAGTGCTAAGGCCCTCCACAGCATGGCTCCTGAGGAGGGAACTTGAATAAGATGTTGCTTTGACCAGCTCCTTGTAAGGACCTATTCCTTTCAGCATTTGGGGGTTTTAGAAAGACAGACAGTCACGTTGGCATTGCTCTGGTAGGAACTAAGGAATTGGTTTTACCACCAAAGCTAATAAAGGTGAGTGCTCATAGGAATCTTTGAGCTGGATTACTAGGATAAAATAAGGACATAGTCTTTCTCTCTCCCATTAGACTGGGAATCCATTTACCTTAGATCAGCTGCTAGTAAAGGCTTTGGATGTGCTGATAGAGTATATATTATTGCATATGTATTTTCTTCCGTTGCAGGACTGAAAGACCTTCTCCTAGCCGGCTGTTCCTGGTCTGCAGTCTCTGCCCTCAGCACCTCCAGCTGCCCCCTTCTCAGGACCCTTGATCTTCGGTGGGCAGTAGGAATCAAGGACCCTCAAATTCGGGACTTGCTGACTCCACCTGCTGATAAACCAGGTATGCTCTGTGCCTGACTTCTCTGTGCTCGTCTTTCAACGTACTTTGTATGTAGCTTTATCTTTCAGTATACTTCATCTTCAAAAGCAAAGGTACTCTCAGAAATGACACTGTGCAGATTGAGAACAGCATGATAGAGTGTATACAAGTACAGGTTAATGATTTAGAACCAGACAACTACCTGCAAACAAAGGAGTAAGCCATTTTGTTGGTCAGTGGCATTTGGGGTCCAGAAAGTATAAAGCCTGAGGAAGTCTGGGAAGGCTTCCGGGTTGAGGTGGATCATTAAGAACTATTTGTATGAGATCTAGAAAAGTAGGAGTGTGGGAAAGGTAGGGGTATTCTGCACATACTCTTTTCATGTGTAAGGCATATTCCAGCAGCTGGGAAGGAAGAAAACCTGTCTGGTTTCCTAGAAAATGGCCCCCACACACTGCTTTCTGAAGGCAGGGCTGTGTGTGGTCAGTTCTGCTTATTCCCTGCAAGGGGACCTGGCCTGTGAAGTTGCCTGCAGGTTTGGAGTTAGAATAGAGTTAAGAATTTTAGTCTAGGCCCATGGTCGGCAAACTGCGGCTCGCGAGCCACATGCGGCTCTTTGGCCCCTTGAGTGTGGCTCTTCCTAAGCCTTAGGAGTACCCTAACTAAGTTAATAACAATGTACCTACCTGTATAGTTTAAGTTTAAAAAATTGGGCTCTCAAAAAGAAATTTCAATCGTTATACTGTTGATATTTGGCTCTGTTGACTAATGAGATTGCCGACCACTGATCTAGGCTCTTTTCTTGCTTGCGTAGGTCAGGACAATCGCAGCAAGCTCCGGAACATGACTGACTTCCGGCTGGCAGGCCTTGACATCACAGATGCCACGCTTCGCCTCATCATTCGCCACATGCCCCTCCTGTCTCGACTCGACCTCAGTCACTGCAGCCACCTGACAGATCAGTCCTCCAACCTACTCACTGCTGTCGGGTCTTCCACTCGTTACTCCCTCACAGAGCTCAATATGGCAGGTATGCTGCTGTGGTGTTTCATGGCAAACTGGCCCATACCTCCTGGAAGTCCCAGCCCTTCCTGGAGCTTGACTGAAAGAACTTGGGTCTGTTGACTAAACTTGTGTTAACTTGTTTCCTCACAACTGGACGGAAATGGATTTCTATCCCTTTTTTAACTGATGGGTGACCAACACCTAGAGTAATTGTCAGGTGCCTAAGAGCACAGCCACCACCCAGCTGCAGTTTGGTCAACCTTAAAATGCAGGGAGTGAGAGAGCAGGGGGCTTTCAGAGGCCACAGTGATGATGGCACTTCTAATCCCTGAGCTAGATAGTTACGGGACAAAGAGGGCTTTGGTTTAGCATTTCGAAGGGAAGAGCTGGGGAATTGAGCTACAGAGGCAAGCTCCTGTGGCCATGTGTACATACATTTGTCCTTATAGTCACTTTCCCCACAGGTTGCAATAAGTTGACAGACCAGACCCTGATCTACCTACGGCGCATCGCCAATGTCACCTTGATCGACCTTCGAGGATGCAAGCAGATCACTCGAAAAGCCTGCGAGCACTTCATCTCAGACTTGTCCATCAACAGTCTCTACTGCCTGTCTGACGAGAAGCTGATACAGAAGATCAGCTAAGACACACTTGGCCCAGACTGAACAGGAAACCAATCTTCCCTGACTCCCCAGCCAGGAGAGCTTCTCTCCCTGACCCTGCACAGGCTCTGAGGCCAGCGTCACACTCCCTCTCTGCTCTCCTGTCCTTTGAGCCCTTCCCCTATAGGCGGGGCAGAGAGTGCGGTGGTCACCAGGCTTACCTGCCTGCTCTTCTCCCTCCTAAGGAAAAGGGAGTAGCAAATTGATCTAAGGGAAAAGCATAGGCTGTGTGCTGTCGAGGTGCCGGCTCACCTGCACGCTTGCCGCCTGCCTGCCAGGAGGCCAAGCTCTCAGTTGGGTCGTCTGTGCAACTATCATCTGCGCTAGGCCCTGGGGCCCTCCTCCCCATCCATGGTTCTGAGCAGTGCCTGGTTCTGAGCAAACTCCCAGGGAGGAAAGCAGCCCTGTCTCCATGGCCAGGTTCTCCTTTTGGTGCCCAGTGTCTCTCCTCTGTCACACTCTCCCGGCTTATACAGGAGGGGCCAGCAGCCCCAGGAAGGCCAGACCCATACAGATCACACTGGTGCTGTTGAGGTGTCTAAGACCTCATCTGTGTCTGTCCTCCCCTCTCCTCCAGTTAGCTTGATCCTGTCCGATGCACCATGTCAGTTCACATAATGAGGCTACCCCACCCTATATTTTCCTGACAGTCTCTACGAGGTCCTCAGGTCCTTGTTGCACTTATTGGGGTTGAGGCTCTTCAGAGGAGCTGGAACTGTATCCCAGGGACACCCCCATTTTATTGCTTTCTAAGCAGATTCTGAGATAGGCACCATCTCCTTGTTCCCACTCCTTTAGCCTCCCACTGCCCTTTTCCATATCTTTATTCCTGCCTGAATAGGGCTTTCCTAGGATGCAGGTCCTCAAGCAGCCTGTCTGCCCCTGCTGGGGGAACAGAGATCTGGGCCAGGTTCCCACCTGCCTTCCAGCAGGCACTAGGCCTCTAGTGTCATGTAATCCCCAGAGCCCAGACCTGTGTTTAGTCCCAGTGGCTCGCTGATCTGGCACCATTGGGAGGAGGGGGAGCTCCTGCTTAGAAGCCAGTCACCTGCCCTCTGCCTGCGGCCCTGGAAGGGGGTGTGCATGTGCCTCTGTGTGTGTGGCTGAGTGTATTACGCGTGTGTGTGGGGAGGGAAGGAGGGGAGCATGGTGTCTCCCACTTTACCTCCCTGTGTCAAGCCCCATCAGCTGCCCCCTTTTTCTTTGCATTGAACGGCCTGTCCAAAGATCCTCTCTCTAGGGCAGCAGAGAGCTTTTTGCACTTTAAAAAAAAAAAGAAAGAAAGGTCGGAATTTCTTTTGGGTCAATGTTGAAATGTGTGAGGAGATGCTCAATAGCAGCAGCCTGTGGCAAGAGTTTATAAGTAATAGATGCGGATTTGCACTCTGCTCTCCCTCCAGAAGGACAGTGATAGCACAACCTTGCCCGCCTCCTCGTCCTCCAGCCCATCCCTTCCTGGCCCCTTTCTGCATCCCAGTCTCAGGCTCTTCTGAAACTCTATGGGGGAGGGCAAGGAGCCCAGGCACCTTGAGGAGAGACGCCAACTGCACCCTTGCCACTTCCAAAGCAATAGAGGCAGAGGGGCCCCCTCTTTGCCGCCTAGCCCAGCTTTGACCCTAGCATTGACTGGCCTAAGAGAAAACTGGGTCCTGGTAGGAGGGGATGGCGTGGTGTGTTTCTTCCAATCTGCTGATTCTCTTGGCTGCACCTTAAAAACAGCAGTCTGCTCCCATCACCCTCTACCCCTTCCATTGGTCTCCAGGCCCAGTGACCTGGGGCTAAAACTTTGAGGAAACGCCAGTGACTTATTCCAGAGTGCCTCAGTTAGGGGAACTTCTCTGTAAAGAACCCTGGGTATTGAGCAAAAACCTTATTAATATTGTTAATGGTCTATAATTGGAAGCTTCCTGCCTTTTTTGGTTGCTCCTGTGGAAAATACTGAAAAGATTGTTTTGTTGTCTTTTTATAAAAGGGGAGGTGGAGAGACCCCTTCAGAGCAGGGATTGTGCCGGGAGAGTGCCTCTGACTTTGGGACATTTCATCCACAGAAATTTCCAAGCTGATGGTTTGTTTTGGGTTTTGGTTTGTATTTTTGTTTGTTTCGGGTTTGGAAAAATAAGCATTTTTACCGTGCACGTAATTATATATATATATATAATATAAAATCACTTGGTGATTAAAAAAATAACTGCTCCATAAATAAAACTCCTAAAGTCACTATGTTTAAAGGGTTTGGTTGTGTTTTTTGTTTTTTCAGAGAAATATTGTAAATATATATTTTTTGTTGCTGATTTAGTCTGTCTCCAATGTTGTGCTAAAAATTTAAATTAAATGTAAGCATTAAGGGGACAAGTCATGCTATATCTTTCCATCGCATTTCCTGCAATCTGCTCTTAGATCTCTGCCTTGCCAGGAGAGCCTGCCCTCAGACCACAGGACCACACCCTGCCTCCATCTTTCCAAGCACCGGGGCGAAAAACCACAAAGGAAAGTTTCAGCCGCTCAGTTGTCTGGAAGTCCATGCAACCTAGGAAGGGTAGAAAGGGAAGCTAGTTGGACTTTTGTTTTCTAAACGTTCTCCACTATTGGTTTTAGAGAAAGCAAGGACATCTTTCTTCTGATACGCGGGAATGGGAGATATTTGTGTAATAAAAATTTTAAAAAACAAAAAAAGAAATAGCTTCCAATGGAAAAATTTTGATTTGGTTTTTTTTTTTTTTAATAATAAAAGGCTTTAAAAACAACAACAAAAAACAAAACCTTTCCTGCCTTGGTGGGTGTGGGCGTGGGTGTGTGTGTATGCGCGCATGCACGCGTGTGTGTGTGAGAGAATGAGTCAGAAGGCTTTCATGTTAGAGGCCAAAGTCAAGGGTTGCCTGCTTCACTCCTCTGGGCAGAAGCAGCTTCTAAAACACATTTTATTTCATCGAACTTTTTAACAGATGTGAAAATTTCAGTACGAGGATACCTGTTCCCCAAACGCGCATACACCCCACCCACGGCATTGCTTAGAGTGGTTCTGTAGTCATGGAGGAGAGCTACCCCTGTGGTGCTCACCTGCGACAGGAAACCCTGGGATTTCTAATCTTGGCATCTCTGGAGAGCTGTTAGCCAAGGCCAGCCTCCATCCACTGCTGCTGCCGAGCCAGCCCCTCAAGGACAGTGCCTACTGCAGGTCACTGAACAAGATCTGGGCCAGACGCTACAGTCGGCATTTGTCCCACCACACCCCCACTGCTTCTCACTTGGCTTGTGGGGAACAAGCTTCCAGCCTTTAGACCAGTGTGCGAGGTGTTGCAGCAGACTGTCCCCGCATCCTTGGGGGCCGCATCTCAGGAGAGCTGGGATCCCCCCGGGAGTCCTGAGTAGGCTTTCACCACCACCTGCCCGGAGCTGGGGGAGCTGCCCACCTATTCCCCAAGCTGACAGCTAAGGGCCACCTCCAGTTCTGCACACTTAGTAAAGGATGGGGCCTTGCAGGATGGGCTGCTTTCATGTCTGTTTCCTGAGGATGGGATAGGGGCGTGGCCATGTTTGGCCAGGAAAGGAAGTGTGTCAGTTCGGCCTCCTAAATATCTCAGAAACCCCCTGTCTCAATCACCTCATCCCTGCCACCCTAGTTGAAGCCACCATTGTTCAGAACCTTGAGGCTTCCCAGCCTTGGTCCAACTCTGTTGGCAGCCAGAACATTTCTCTTTAAAAAGATATATTTGAGCCCTAGCCGGTTTGGCTCAGTTGACCGAAGGGTCCTGGGTTCGATTCTGGTACCATGGTCGCAAGTTCCTCCCTGGTCAGGGCATGTGCAGGAGGCAATCAATTGATGTGTTTCTCTCACATCAATATTTCTGTCTTCCCCTCTCCTACTCTCTAAAAATCAATGAAAAAACATCCTTGGGTGAGGATTAATTTTATATATATATATATTCTAGAGGCTTGGTACATGAAATTTGTGCATGGGTAAGGTCCCTAGGCCTGGCCAGCGATCAGGGCTTTCCTTCCCCTGGTTGCCGCTGGGCCTTCCTTAAAGCCACCATTGTTCAGAACCTTGAGGCTTCCCAGCCTTGGTCCAACTCTGTTGGCAGCCAGAACATTTCTCTTTAAAAAGATATATTTGAGCCCTAGCCGGTTTGGCTCAGTTGACCGAAGGGTCCTGGGTTCGATTCTGGTACCATGGTCGCAAGTTCCTCCCTGGTCAGGGCATGTGCAGGAGGCAATCAATTGATGTGTTTCTCTCACATCAATATTTCTGTCTTCCCCTCTCCTACTCTCTAAAAATCAATGAAAAAACATCCTTGGGTGAGGATTAATTTTATATATATATATATTCTAGAGGCTTGGTACATGAAATTTGTGCATGGGTAAGGTCCCTAGGCCTGGCCAGCGATCAGGGCCTTCCTTCCCCTGGTTGCCGCTGGGCCTTCCTTAGTTCTGCGCTGCCCCCTGGTGGTCAGCGCACATCATAGTGAGCAGCTGAAGTCCCAGTCAGCTGAATGCCCAAGGGGACAATTTGCATATCAGCCTTTTATTATATAGGATATATTTGACTACTCTGCTTAAAACCCATTAAATATGTCTCAGGATAAAGTCCTCAAGCTTCTTCCTTGTCATTTGCCCCTTTTACTCCTCTCCAACCTTAGCTAACTTTTTTCAATCCCACTATCTGAGTGGGATTTTACACATGCTGTTCCCTCTGCTGGTACACCTTCCTCAGTTTACATGAGGAAATGTAGAGGTGGGTGTATAGGAGGGGGACCCTGCAGGACCAACTTCATGGGTGAGTGACCCATGCAATCACACAGGGCCCTGTACTCAGAAGGACCTTACACTTGGTTGAATGCTCTGCTGTCACTATCATGAAAGTCTTAATTTTTTAACAAAGAGCCCCACATTCCACTTGCAATGGGCCCTGCAAATGATATAGCCAGTCCTGAAGGGAGGGACAACCCAGCTCTCCCCCGTCCTCCCAGGCCAACTCTATGCTAAGTGTCATTTGGATGGCCAGCAGCAGAGCAGACCTGGCACTTCCCAGCTTGGGAGACCTGTTACCACCACTTTCCCAGGTGCCCAGGCCCAGAAGGGAACTTCAGCACTGGACACCTATGTGTGGGCAGGAAACTTTAAGAGTATACACCTGAGGTCCGGGAGCACCTGGTTTTGCCCTAAGCCTCGCGCTGACACCCAGCTTCTGCCTCCCCCACCAGCCTCATTCCAGAGAGAGCTACAGGGGGCCAGAAAGGTCCCACTGCTATCCCCCCTTCCCTGGAGTGTGACATGAGAGTGCTAGAAAGGCAAGACTGGAACAGATGCAGAGACACACAAACAGAAAACACCCTGAAAAACCCAGAAAAGGAAAGACAGAAAACAATGAGAACGGGGTTGGGGAGAAGATAAATGAAATGAGAGAAAAGAGACCATGAGAGGGAGATACAAGCGAGGCTCAAGATACTCCACGTCTGACTGGCCACAAGGAAAGCCATCTCCCCCAGCCCAGCACTGCACAGCATCTCCTTTAATCCTCGCGGCAACCCAGTGCGGCCAGGTTGGAGGCTCCCCGCACAGGGGAGAAAGGCCAGGCTCAGAGAGGTTAAGTAACTTGCTTCGGGAAACCGGACGGGGCAACGGAGGTGGCACTAGCATTTGACCCTGGGTCTTCTCCACACACATACGTCCCGGTCCCCGACACAAGTACCAGTGGCCACAGTGATCATGCCTCGGACACCCAGGCTGAAGGAAGGTCAAGACAGAAATGCGCGCCGCGTGAACACAGTAGGTTCCAGCTCCCGGCAGAGCCAAGAGACAAGACGCATGCGCGCTGGAGGCAGCTCCGGGCGCGCGCCGGGGGCGGGGCGCTGCCAGGGCCAGAATCCGAGGGAGG